CTCGCGCTCGTTCCCACGACCTCGAGAGTGTCCACTACGCACACCGCACACGACGCCCCGCGCGCTCGCGGAATCCAGCGCGACGTCGAGAGCTCCGCCTCCTGCCGCACGCCCACGCCCGCAATGAGGCGCCGCACGCCCGCGCGCTCGCGAATCTACCTGCAAGCTCGAGAGTGCCGCCCTCGCGTACAACCATGCTAACCACTGCCTACGAGCTCGCGGATTTTGAGGAGACGTCGAGAGTGTCCCATTTTAATGTGCATGTTTTAGTGTGTGTGTGTGTGGGTAGTAGTATAAATATATTTTGTCCATTGCATTTTGGGGATCATTCAATCATTTTTCATTTTTCCCACTTTGGGAAACTAGCTCATGTTTATTTTTGCTCTCTAGATTAGGAGCTTATGCTATTTTCTGGGAGATTTTCCGGCGACTTCGGTTTCGTTCAAGTTTCGAGCTTTTGACTCCGTTTTTCATCGTCTACGCAATGGGAGGTTGAGTATTTAGTTTTAAAGCTCTTTACTTCGTTTTTTCTCCAGTTTTACTTATAATGCTTATTAGAGTAAACTGGATTTGATTGATGATGGTGGAAATGCTTGAACTTGATTGCTTGCTTGAGTAGATAGAGCCGTTAATTACTTATTGATCTCGGTTAGACGACTAGGGTTAGCAATCTAATGCTCGTAGATCGTTTATTCCGTATGTCGATTAATTATCATCCCGTATTGGTTATGGCATGAGACTCTGGTGATCTAGTTTACGAAATGCTCGCCTTTTGATCTTGCTTTCAATCAATTGCTCGTTTTTAAGTGCTCGATTAGTGTTAATCAACCATCCAATCAATTGTTTAGAATGTTTAGGATTTTATTTTCCACTTTTTGTGATTTGAACGATCATCCAGTAGACAAAGCTCCGAATAGCTTCCTTCGAGATCGGCCCAAGTCGGGTAGCTCGGTTATCCCTTGCCCATCAAATCTATACAAAACACGAAGCCAATACAACGTATCACCAATATAACGAACAACAAATAGAAGAAGCATCAGCGTCTTACATAGAAATACAAAAGATAAAGATATTCTCTCGGCAAAGGCAAAAGCTAAGAACCCGAGAGTCCACCTATATCTCCCCCTTGCTAAATTCCACAACTATGGATTCCAAATGCTTTAAAAAATAATTGGCAACTGCACCTGCAAAAGGGCCTAGCCAATTATCAAACCTACAACAAAAGAAAAAGAGCAGCAAACTAACTGTACACAAAACCTGCTCAGCTCTACTCAAAACCTAAACTAACCAGAACTGCACCTAAATTCCCTCCATTCTGCGAGTGCTAGCTTCACAATGTCTGCTTCAGATCTCCATTCCTTTTGAAAAACCCTTAAGTTGCGGGTTTTCCACATCCACCAGAGGAGGTAGCATGTGAGTTGTACTCTGTATTATGAGGTTGGTTCTTTGTTAATAGAGCACATCTTGATCCACCAGTGTTTGAAGCTTTCTGTTTCAGAATGTAAGCCTTCCCAAGAGATTGGGGCAAGCATCCAAATCAGTTGGGCCCTGTGTCAGAGGATGAACAGATGTTCTTGCGTTTCTTCGATTTCTCCACAAAATCTGCATATTTGATCTGACTTGGAGCCTTTTGAGTTAAGGTTGACCGACACTGCTAATATATTGTTGAAGCCTCTCCATATGAAGTGTCTGATTTTCCTTTTAATATTTATGCTCCAAGTTCTTCTCCAGGCTTGCTTTAATCCACTTTCATTTCTGCTGGAGACTGCAATGTCCATATGTCTCCATTTTTTCTCAATGACTGATTTGTGTTGTAGCCACTGTGAATTTTCCTTGGGGATTCCCATCCCACTGTAAAGAATCAGGTTTATGTGGATCAAGTCCTTTTATTCTCAGAATAGCATTTGCTTCCTCTGGCAGGAAATGGCTTTCCACAATTGCTCTGACCCATCCCCTCCATGTGTCATCCATGAGATCTTTCACCCATTTGAGGTTGGTATCTCTAGAGCCTAAGCCGATAGGTATTTTCTTCTTGAATCATGCAATCCATGGTTGTTCCCACAAGCTCACTGAGCTGCCATCCCTTATCTTCCAAATCAAATTATCAAAGAAAAGGTCCTTCACTTTCCACCACTTGACCAAAGCCATGAGCAGTTATGTTTCTGTTTGGCTGCAGCTAGCTCACAGTTAGGGAAGCATCTTTCTTTTAATATTTAACTGACCAGGATATTAGGTTGATTCACCAGCCTCCATATCTGCTTCAATATCAGGGCCTTATTGAAGGTATGTAGGTCATGAAATCCAATGCCACCCATCTCAGTTGGTAGGGACACTTTCTGCCAGCTTTTCCAGTGAATTCCTGCAGACTCTCCTATGTTGTCGCTCCACCAGAATTTAGCCATAGCTGAGGAAATTTTCTTTGTGACTGTTTGAGGCAGTAGGAAACATGACATGGTGTAAGTTGGTAGGGCTCCTAAGACTGCTTTGAGCAGTACTTCCTTACCTGCAAGTGAAAGATGCCTATTTTTCTAGTTTAAGATCTTGTGATTGACTGCTTCATAAACAAAGGAGAATGTAGTAGTTTTTTATGTGCCAATGCCGAGTGGCAGCCCTAGGTACTTAGAAGATGTTTGTGGTTTAATCCCCAAAAGGATAGTATAAATCTGGTCTCTGAGGGTTGGGGGGGTGTTTTTACTGAAGAAAATGGATGACTTGGATAGGTTAACTGTTTGTCCTGTCAGGTATTTATAGTGAGCAAGGATTGAAAGAAGGGTGTGAGCTTGTTGGGCAGAGCATTGGAAAAGATTAGAATGTCATCTGCAAAAAATAGGTGGGTTAGGAAAGGGCAGTGCTTGTTCATTTTCATCCCCTGCAAGTTGCCTTTTGCCACCTCAGAGTTAATCAGATAAGAGAAAATTTCAGAACTTAAGATGAATAGATAGGGTGATAATGGATCACCTTGTCTTATTCCCCTAGCTGGCTTCAAATATTCAATAGCATCTCCATTCACATTAAAGGAAAAAGAGGTGGAGTTAATACACTGCATAATCCAATTCACAAACAGAGAGTTAAACCCCAACTTCAGCATGACAACCCTGACACTATCCCATTTCACTCTATCAAAAGCCTTGCACATATCAAGTTTTATGGCCATATAGCAGTTTTTCCCTATTCTATGCCCCTTCAGAAAGTGGATCACCTCATTAGCAATGATAACGTTATCCATAGTTTGCCTATCTTTCACAAAAGCAGACTGGTTTTTACTAATGCAAATAGGCAAGCATGGTTTTAATCTATTAGCCAGAATTTTAGAGACCACTTTATTGACCACATTACACGGACTAATGTGTCTATATTGAGCAACAGTGGAGGGGCTAGCACATTTAGGGATTAGGGTAATGAGAGAATGATTAAGGCTTTTTAACAACTGACCAGAAGTAAAGAAACTAATCACAGACTCGCTCAAATCATGACTCACAATAGACCAAAAGGATTGGAATAATAAGGAAGTCATATCATCAGGTCCAGGTGCTTTAAGAGGGTTGATACTGAAAAGACTTTATTTATTTCCTTTTGAGTTACTTGTGCCACCAAATCTTGATTCATATATGAGGGAATGACTTCCTCTATGCTTTGAAGTAGACTGTTCCCAGTGTTAATTCCTTCAGATGTAAAGAGCAGTGAGAAGAATTCTTCAATGCATAAAAGGTCAAACATATGGCATAAAAGGTCACGTACTATACAGTGTTTTAAATACCGTGTCGGTGGTCATACCGGTCTACCCACCGATACGCGGTATTACCGGTCGGACCGGTAATATAATAATCAATATAAATATACATACAAATATTTAATATCAAATGTACTAAAGTCAAAATATAAATGACCATAATCACTAATTTCACCTTTTCAATGAGATAAAATAAAATATTTTAACTACCAATTTAATTTTATTTTTTTTTTAAATTAATTTTTTTTAATTAACCGGTATTTTGGACCGGTATTTTGCAGTTTTTACGGTATGATCCCAGTACGGTACGGTATTTAAAACATGGGTACTATACATATCACTTATATTTTTCTTTATTCATTTATATAATTATAAGGCTGGATAAATGACCTTAAAATTGTGCACCCCGTGCATCGCACGTGCTTTGTACTAGTTTAAGCTTATGTTGCATGTTTACTAATCCATGCTATTTATTAAAGGATATATTATTACCATTAAGTAATTTACGTTAAACTTTATTTATGAGTTAAAGGATACTAAATGTACAACGTTTTTGTACAACATTCAGTGACAACTTAATGTGACATAGATGCAATTAAATTAATAATTAAATATGAATTAATCATACTTTTAACTAAGTTGTCAACCAACGTTGTAAACTACAATTGTACATGTAACATTTCTCCTTGTATATAATATATGTTGCCCATAATTAGATTATAGATAAGAAATTAAATATATCCTAACAGATTATGCTGCGGCCACCCATAATAAAAGGTCAAACATATGGCTTAAGCAGTGATTATCATTCGATGTTTATATCGTGGATCTGTGACAGTGCAACTCTATTCCAAGTAGGGCATAGTCTTTGGACAACAAATAAGTGCTTCCTGGAACACGGTTGCTGCTACCATTTTTTATCATTATTATT